TTGAATGTAGGAATGCTTAGAGGTATAAGTATGAAGTTAATGAATACAATAAGACAAAGAAGAGTAAACATAGCTTATCTATAGGAAATTATGTGGAATGACAAAAAGCTAAGAAAATAAATTTGAATAAACATTGAGACACAAGAAAGGATGATAATAGAAATGTCATAGGTATAATAGTAGACAAAGATTTAATAGATAAAGTAGTTAATGTCAAGAAAGTAGGTGACAGGTTCATATCAATTAAACATACTAAGGAAGAGATAGTTAACATAATTAGTGCTTATGCACTACAAGTAGGACTAATGGATTAATCCAGAGACGATTCTGGAAGGACATGGACGGACAAGTGCAAGACATACCACGTGGAAAGATGACCTTTTTAGGAAGGGACTTAAATAGACATGTAGGGAAGGCTAGTAGAGGATATGAATGGGTACATCAGGGATATAGGTTTGGTGAAAGAAATGAAGTGGATGAGGGCCTAAAACCTAGCAATAGAAAACACTTGCTTTAAAAAGCGAGATGAACATTTAATAACTTTTAAAAATTGACTGCATGAAAGCTAGATAGACTTCTTCCTAGTTAAAAAGATTGATCAACCATCATGTAAAGACTATAAAGTTATCTCAGAAGAAAGTTTGACTACCCAACATAGGCTGATTATTATGGACGTTTGCATAAAAACATGGAAGAGAAACAGTGAAATTAATAGGTATCCAAGAACTAGGTAGTGAAATTTAAAAAACGAGAAAATATATTTGTTTAGAGATAAGTTAGTTAAAGAAAGAAAATAGAATTTTGAACATGAGGTCAATGTTATATGGAATAAGATGGCTTATTGTATTAAGAAAGTGGCAAAATAATTTTTAAGAGAATCTAGAGGAATAAAATATATATGCTAAGGAAACTTGATGGTGGAGTAATGATGTTCAGAAGGTCAATACTGAAAAATGATCAATTTATAAAATTTGACAATTTAATAAATGGTTATGTTAAGGTGCTCATACTCTGGAGTAATTTATCATTGTATTCAAGAATTTTAGACACTTCTATACCCTTATTTTATACATGGAGCATTTTTTCAATAAGAGTATTTTTATCATTAAGAAGGGTGTGTCATCATCCACATGGGGTGTGATATCACCCCACTTGGAGCACACTAGTGGCATTTAACGTGGGTGATACCACATCCTATGTAGATGATATCATACCCCTTCTAATTACCAAAAATGCATTTACTAAAAAACAGTTCATTTACAAAACAAGAGTATATATGAATCCAAATTTTTACTCCATCACGTGAGCACTCTAACATTACCCTTTAATAAAAATGCTCAAAACTCAGAGGAATATAAAAAAACTAAGAAAAACTATAAACAAGTAATAAGTAAGGCTAAACTTGAGGCATATGATAATCTATACACTAAATTGGAAACAAGAAAAGGTGAAAAGATATCTTCAAATTAGCAAAAAATGAATGAGAAAAAATGTATGGATTTAGATTATATTAAATGTATTAAAAATGATGATCAAAAGGTCTTGGTGAAGGATAAAGAGGTCAATGAAAGGTGGAGAATTTATTTCAATAGAGGTTTAGAAATGTATAAAGGAGATTGGCATTGACTGGCTGGCCAAATTGTTTAACAAGGTGTTAAGAACAAAAAAAATACCAAACAAATAAAGAAAAAGTATTGTGGTATCTATTTATAGGAACAAATGAGACATACAAAATTTTGTGAACTATCAAGATATTAAACTTATGAGCCACACTATAAAGTTGTGGGGGAGAGAGATTACGTAACGATTAAAGCATGACATGAGTGTATCAAAAAACCAATTCGGTTAGATGCCAGGGAGGTCAACAACCAAAGTTATTTCCCACTTAGGCAACTGATTGAGAAGTTTAAGGCAAATGAATAAGACTTCCACATAGTCTTTATTAATCTATAGAAAACTTATGATAGATAACCTAGAGATTTGATTTGTTTTTATTGATCTAGAGAAAGTTTATGATAAAGTACCTAGAGATTTGATTTGGTGAATGTTAAAACAGAAAGGAGTTTCTAGAAACTACCTCAACTTGGTGAGAGATATATTTAAGGGAATTAACTGATGTATAAACAACTAGTGGAGAGACGATTGAGTTTTTAGGGACAATACATCTACATCAAGATCTGCATTGAGCTCATACCTATTTGTCTTAGGGAAAAAGTTTATATAAGAATGCAACCTTATAATATAGAACTACGGATGTACCTCAAAAATCCATCGGAAAAGGTAGTTTTAATGTTGAAAATTTGATTGATCATCTAGACATCGAGATGTCTTACCATGAAAAATAAAAATATTTTAAGTCTCAGAAATAATGTATTTTACAACATATTATCTATACCGTCCATTTTCAAGATTTTTATATGTTTATAGATCTACTTGATTTTAACCATTTTTTAAATTTAAAATTTTATAATTAGATATAAAAATAGATTTTGAGATAATCGTAAGAACATTTTACATCAAAATTATATACCATGATAAAATTTGAAGGTGAAACTTATCTCTACAGCTACGGATACATCTGTATGCCAGCTGCACTCTTGTCTTAGCTATGGATGACTTAGCTAGGCACTTACAAAATGATATATCTTGATGCATGGTATTCACGGATGACATAGTTTTAATCGATGAGATCAGAAACGACATCAACACAAAGTTAGAACTTTTGAAGGATGCTAAAAAATTAAAAGGTTTTAAAAGTGGCCAGAAAAAAATAGAGTATATGAAATAAAAGTTTAGTAGTAATAGAAGCCGAGATGAAGAAGTAGTTAAAATTGACAGCCAAGAAATATAAAAAAAGAACACATTTTTTATATCTTGGGTCGATAATTCAATAAAATAGAGAAATTAAAGATGTCCTATATAGAATTAAAGCGAAGTGGGCAAAGTGGAGATGTGCAACTAGAGTTTTATATGATCATTGCATACCAATGAAGCTGAAAGGAAAGCTCTACAGGACAACTGTGAGACCAGCTTTACTTTATGGGACAGAATGTGATAGTCACAAAACAACATTACCCATAGAATGAGTGTAGTTAAGATAAAGATGTTGAGATGGATGAGTGGCAAGACAAGAAGAGAGAGAATTTGAAAGTGAATACATTTGAGAGAATTTAGGTGTGGCATCAATAGAATATAAGATTAGATAAAGTAGACAGGTAGGCTGGACATGTGTGGCGCAAAGAGCAAGGGGTAGGCCCAGAAAAATATTGTTGGAAGTAGTAAAAAATGATATGGATACTTATGGCATCATTGAAGGTATGGCTCTTAACATGGTAGAATGGGAAAAAGTTTTGATGATGATGATGAAACCATCTAGTGATTCTAAATCTTTTTCCAAAATTTCCAATTGAGAGGATAATTTTGTGGGTCTTATGCCCAAGAGAGCAAAGGTCCCGCAAAGGTCCCATATGCTCTTGCCAGAGAAACTCGTATATGATCTTGCCAGAGTAGCTCATATATATCCGTCATTGACAATGCTTGTTAGTTGTTCCCAACGGGAACAAATTGGACATATGATCCCTCAAGGAAAAGTCCCACTTAGAAGAATTTTCTTGATCAAGAAGATTTTTATCTTTTTAAGCATCACCAAATAACAAATTAAATATTATTATGAGTTCCTAAACACCTAAATCAGACAATCCAACATAAGGACGGCCTATGTTCAATCTTAGCAATGTACATGGTTTCTATGAATCCATGTAGTTATGAGTCCCCTCTTAAAATTCTATTGTCAAGATGCATTTTTAGACATTTTAACATGGAGATAATGAATATGAAAAAATAAAAAAATTAAAAATAATAGTTTTGTATAAAAAACATTTGAACCATTAGTTTCAACTATGTTTAGATAGACTGCCCATTTGCAATCCATCTTTAAAATGGATGATTTGTACTTCAGGGGGCGCAAATGTAGAAATACATCCTTTGAGTTGGTTCAAGTAGAGAGCTCTAAAAGGGCAAAAAAAAAACCCAAATGAATATAGATGGAAGTAATGAGAAAAGATATGGAAATTTATAGCCTTACTGATGATGTGGACTTTGATACAACAAAATGACAGAATATGATTCGTGCAGCTGATCACAAATAATTGATATAAGGTCTGATGATAATGATTATTCAAGTTTTTATTTCAAGGTTTGTCACGAGGATAACTGGCTTGCATATCCACGATTGGGTCGTAAGAATTCTCCTTAGCCGATCCTTGCACAAAGGAACAATTGTAAAATTTGTTCCACGGGAGCATCCAATTTTTTACAATGTATTGTGCCCATTGGTTGAAGGATTATGCTAATGCAACATTGGGAACTTTTTAAACATGATTAAAAGAATTTGAACGTTAACAGCCGGCTATTGTGTGCAAAATATTATCCTGTAGGGTATTTCCCCAAATTTGTTTTTTAATGCAAGAATAATATTGAAGTTGGTTTTGGGGGTTTAGGTAATTTGTAAAAGTCAGTTTTGCTAAACAGCCATCAGATATTGGCTATTTGTAAAAAGTGATCCCATAGCTAGAGGACCTCAATAAAAAGTGATCCCGTAGGAGATAAAACTACCTGTACAGCTAGAGTGATAAAATGCCGTTGAGAGGGTTCGATTCTTTCCCCATTAGAATGTCAAAGAAAACAGGAAAGAAAAACATTTTAAGTAGATTGATACAAGAGACATATAGCAGAGAGCTCCCGTTTGATGGCAGTGAGCCGAACATCCCGGGTTACCTCTTCCCAAACTTGTCTTCCTTTGTGTCTCTCATATTCTCCGAATTTGCCGCTGCTCTTTCTCTTGCTTGAGGATCCACAACAAGAGATTATAACCTCATTGAATTGGTGGAGTTCCTTTTGGGGATTTCGTAGAGTGGCTTGATTTACCCTCTCAAGTGTTTCACCATATTAGCAATGGAACTGTTTCATCAAATCATTCCCCAATACAATTTATCTAGGGCTTATCAAATAACATTCTAAACCAAAATTATAAATTTATTGAGACGAGCAGTAGGAAAGATACAGATCACACTTCACGTGATCTTTTCTTAGCCATTACAGCACGAACATAATTCAAAATTCTAATAAACTCAAAAAAGTGTGGTTGGTCAAGACACTCTGGCCCATTCATAGGACCCCTACTAGATCCAACTGAAGCCTTGCTTGGGTTTCCACCAATAACAACGTCAAACCCACCAACTTGTCCCATCAAATTATCAAGTTCTCGACTCTTCAGCTTCTCCACATCATCAATCTCAATCAGATCCCCTCTCTGTTCAGTACTTTTCCACCAATTCCAAAGAAGTCTTCGATTCAGATCAGAAGACTCAACTGAAACAATGCAATTGATTTGAATCCCAAGCTTGTGCAAAGAGACAATAGCCCCTCCAATCCCACTACAAATCGATAAAACATTTATCCCAGCTGGGAAAGTTTCCTTGAAGACCGAGAATATATAACCCAGTGTGTCTACTTGGTAGCTGTCCTTAAGCAACCTCAGCCGTTCATTGGGGTCCAATCCAGATCCATGAGTGTAGTACCTGGGGTACCCTAAGATAGCCTCCAAATCTTCAGGCTCTAAAGGGCTGAGTTTATACGGGCCCACCCATACTAAGTTCCAAGTCTTGCAATGATGGAGGATGTCTTCCTTTTGTACATAAGATGGAAGTCCTTTGGAACCAGCTGCCGTCCTTTCCAGTCTCTCACACAGTTGTGTGAGCCCTAAACTGAAATTAGTGCCGCTTAGCTTTGTCCTTGGATCCCAAGGGGGCCAAAATTTTCGGGTTCTTGGCAATACATCTTGAATAGTCATTTGGGGTAATGGATCTATGTGGGTTCGAGTATCAATGGGGAGGTTATGGGCATATCCTTCTTTTCTACTGAGGGCTGAGAAGTTCTGTGAGTCTATGAACTCCGGAATGGTACCAAATAAAAATCGCGTAACAGTTTCCCAGTCCTCATAGGGAATATTGTTCACATTCCCATACAAAAAATATGTGGAATCTGTTGACGTTTCACGCAGACCACTAGATGGCTTGGGGCTAGGCTCAAAGGGCATCCATGAGTCATATGGACTAGTTTCCGACAAATCAGAAGTTGAGAATGCATTTCTTTCATCCGTTGAAGAAACCTTGGGTTGTTTGCCTTTTCCAATGTTTTTAAAGTTGGTGCTTTTTCCTTTGTAAAAATTATAGGAACCTTCTTTATCATCAAAAGTAGATGAACCTTCTTCTTCAGATGCTTCTCTACTACTGCCGTAAGTTTCACATTTGATTCTCTTCCCTCTCAACTCTTCTGGTAACATCATGATCTGATAATCCCGTGAATGCAATCTACCTGCAGTCTTGAACTTACTCTGCATAAGCAACAGAGAGCAGAGAGCCAACCAAGTTTCAACCAATTAAGATTTAAGAACCTACAGTTAAAACAACTAGTGTGGTGTAGTTTGCAGAAAACATTTGTCAGACCATACATTATCAAACATCAGTCAAGTGTTGGAGCAGTTGACAACAAAAAAGAGGAAATGGCATGTGAAGCTTGAAACTGCAGCAAAGGAAAGCAGCAGCACATTTAACTAACACATCTATGCTGTTGTTGCTATCACTGTTGTGTGAAGTCTGTGATATTTCTAAAGACACACATACACAGAAATGCATGCAAGCCCATGCATGCACAAACACACAAGTGTGAGCGCACCCACACATACATATATACACACACACACACATACAGACATACAGACATACAGAGAGAGAGATAGAGAGAGAGAGAGAGAGAGAGAGCAAACCTTGTCTTTCAATAAATGGTATTCAGATGATACTTTATTATCTCCTTTACCTATGGACAGGGCAATTTGCTTAGCAAAAATTGAATCAGCTAGTTTACGGAGTGGAACATCAGCACCTGGGATTGAGGATACCAATTATCAAGCTCACTACTATGCAAATGTCATAGTGAGCAGGATACAAAATAAACCTAACACCAGTTGTTAATAATGATGCTTTCATTTGACAATCCATTTGTTAAGTGCTAGATTTGAGGACTATTTTCATAGAACGAGAACAAATCAGAATTGTGAAGCTTAGGTAAGCAAGGAATTGTACAAAATATCCTTCATGAATCATTGATTTCATGAAAGTCCGTGCATATTGAAATACCTTAACTCACTTTCACATCATACCACCACTATGAAAAACAATTTCACTATCGAACTAGTGAAAATAAGCAATTTATCTGATACAGAAAATGCAAGTGTCACCCATATACAAATATGCACCCATAAAACTGTAGACAAAGACATGAAATTTATTTGTTAGTACTTGAGAGTCCATTTGATCATTCATATCGGTGTTTAAAAACGTGTACCGGTGGATTGAACCCACCACCCAACGGTCCTGAGGTGAATCCTTCAGTCGGCTTGGCCGACACCAGCAAGATATATCTAAAAACATGGAGCAAAAAGAGAAAAAATGCCAAAAAATTACAGAAAACACATAAAATCAAATATTCAAAATCAAATAATTGATTTCATATTATAAGAGGTATAAATCAAAATCTAAATAAGAAAGTTAAAAAAGAAAACATTTCAGAAAGAAACAGCAGCAAAAGAAAAACAAAAATCAACCTTGGATATTTTTGGCTTTGATTGAAAAAACCTTGTTCGGGACTTCTGTAGATCACTATGATAGAAATATTTTGGGGCAAATTTGAACAAATTTGGTGACCAATGAGAGAGAATTGAAGATTCTCTGCTTCGGGTTCTAAAAATTCATGAAATTTGCTATCTTGATATCTTCTATTTTGCTTTTCAATCCAACAAACTGTTTTATGGGTCGGTTAGATGACTCTACGATGAACAATTCAAAGCAAATTCCAAATTATTTCATTAAGAATCGAGAGAATAAATGCAAGAATAGCATATAAGGTTTGTAGGCTCGAAAAATGAAAAGATTTTGTTGACAAATCTGGCCCAAAGTGGAAACCAATTAAAAAAAAAAATTAATTTTGGATCTCAAATGGGACTAAAGTAGACTGATTGTTTTTAAAATCAACCCAAATCAGCATGAAAATAGTGGGGGACCAATTATTCATCCAAGAAATAAATACAAAAAATATAAAAAGAATATAAGCCTTTTCTGGTTTTTCAAGTGTAAAAATGGGGTATTATTCACCAATATCTGGGGAGAACTGGCCTGGTTCCAAAGCTGACTCTGGTGATTTTGAGTCAGCTCAGCTTTATCTCTCATAGGTTCGTATATTTTTATTAACAATTTAGGAAATTTAAAAACAAGCATAACTGTCTAATCTTGGAGACATACACTTAGGAAATTAAAAGAACACCTATTCAATATTAACAACAAATCTGCTCACCATATTTGCTAATAGCAGAAGATATCTCATCTTCAGAGAACCCCATCTCTAAAAGGCAAAGAGTTTTATTCATGGTCTCAAACAATCCATTATTGGCACTGCCCTGGCAAAATTAAGAGCAAAAATATCCATATCATAGAAGTTGCGGAGTACAGATTTTCAAGAAAAGGCTAACAGCAGTAGATATCTTTGATGTGCATAGTGAGGAAAAAGAAAAAAAAGTTAACAGCCAGTACCGAGCTTAATTTAAGTGTTCATAATTTCCATAAACATAGGCTAAGTACCAGTCATGCTGCAACCTTCCCAGCTATAGTGTGGTCTTAACCAACTTTCCAATTTGGATGGTTACGGAGAAAGTGGGCATAAATTCTACCTATACAGGTCTTCTTTTCACAAAGAGCAAGGCAGATTAAAGCAATAATTATCTTTTCTTTTTTTTTGATGAAGTAAAGCAGCAAGTTTCTTACATGCAAAGGTGAAATAGAATAGAACAGTTAACCTTTTCAAAAAAAAAAAGGTAGTGAAACCACATCACAAGAGAACCAAGACCATAAACCTGGCTTACTGCTCAAGCAGATGTTAAAGAAATCTCCCAAATGGCTCATTATTGGGAAGCTTGCAGCAGGTGGATAAGTAATTTGAACAAATTATGAGACCACAGGAAAAATGAGTAATTTTTAAAGTTGCTTTAAATTAACACCAAAAACAAAACATCATCCACTGAATCCCAAAATGTAGTAGAAATAGCAATAACAGACGAAAGAAGTGATCATACCTAGTAATAGAGATAAAACATGTATAAAGGTGCATTACTGTGTTGCGATGAATGGGTACTAGACTCAAACCCGAAGACTATAACTATTTGCAAAGAATTACCTTTTTCTGACTATGTATAAAGAAAGAGTGCGATAGGATTTGAACTTGAGCAATGGTCACAAAAAAAAATTCCAAATTTATAATACTGCAAAGGAATACGATTTATAATTTCACATGAGAATTTATCATTCCCAAATTCTTTCAAATTTACAAGGAATAAGAACATGAAAACAGGATGCAATGTGCTACAAATTGCAGATTTGGAGGACTTTAAGATCTGTCGTGTGCAGGGTCTTGTGATCAGTTTGGTTGGATTTGGTCGCACATTTAAGCAGATAACTCATATCCACCAAATTGGAAGATGTCAAGAAGAGAACCAGGACCTTTCCAACCACATGCCAGCCCTCATCTCTGACCCACAAATTTGAAGATGCATTATCCCGTAAGAGAGAGAGTGTACAAAGATTTCCCGATCGTGGAGTTGCCAACTACTATCACCAAGAGTAATACTACTTAAGAGTAGTTCCCATTTTTTTCTGTACCTCAGGCACACTATCATGAATATTAAATCATCATTATACAGCTAACGATCACCAATAAGAAAGCATGTTCATGAAATAGCGGCAGGAGTTTGTTGAATCCAAAACCAATATCGTTCAACTCGTGGCTACATCTGAAAGGAATTAATGGTATAACTGAATATTTGAACCCTAGGATGGGATTGGAGCATGGGTGTTTAGGGGGGCGGATGCCTCAACATTACTTCCCGGCCTCCAATTCTCACAGTTAACATATCAAAAAAAAAAGGGGGCCTCAGCCCAAACCTTCAAAGTTACAACCGCAGTGCTCCTGAACTGTATCTCCCAATTAATATTCAGCCAATGATATCCAACCTTTCTGCATGTTTGTAACATCACCCTCGTACTTTTTTTTTTTGAAAGTAACATCACCCTTGTACTTGTGGCATATTTGCTTATAGTTGCCTTTATTATTTTAAGCTAAAACTCAGGTATTTACTAGTATCATGCTATATTTTTTTCTCAAACACTTAAAACATAATGAGTGCCATACTAACATGATCCCCTAGTCAGACCTCCCAACATTACACTAAATAGCCACAAACACCATCTCCTAAATAATGTTTTCATTCCTTTAACATCCAATCTTCCTGTATACTGTGAAATCTCCTTTACACTTGCAGCGAATTCTGTTCTACAGTCGATCTTTAATCGTTAGAATTTCATGACCACATCTTTAACCATGCCAATTAGGTTAACTTGGACAAGAAAATTCTGATTGGCTATTCCTCACAACTTCATTGGTGCCACAAATTTATCAGCAAAATTCAAGAATTCACGTGCAAAGTTTTATTGCAGTGATAGCATTAATTGAGTTAACAATTTCTTCTAAGGATAAGCTTTGATAAGTCGGCCAACTCATCTATTTATATGAGCCCTTCCTCCAAAATATATCTTAGAGATGGATTTTGGATCCAAAAATTTCAGGGGTTGACAATCTATTCCATTGATTTGTGGGTCTTGGTGGGACAGACCACCACCTTTTGACATCCAACTCTAACATGTTAGGTGTGTCAGGGGACGCACATGTAGAATTGCATCCCCTAACGCACACTACACCTTCTTTTAATGACCTATTTGGGTGAAGTAGCTGCTGAATTGCCAAATGAAATACTGGAGTGATATGGTCTATTGTAGTCCACGCAGCAGTTTGACCTTGTGGAGCAGAGAAATAGCAAAACTTGCAGAAATTGGGAAATCTAAGGGAAAGCCATCGATGAAAGAATTAGTATATACACATTGTAAAACGTTATCATTTTCAATAGATCAGTATAGATACACATGCGTTCAGTTTTATTCCTTGATTTATGATGCATCCATCAACAAACATGAGGTAGCTGTAAGTCATCACATGCCAAGTGTGCAAAGGAATGCCCATAATCAAATGAATTCATGATGTCAGTCTCAGAGCCATGTGCACTAATAAGATCCAATTTGCAGTAATTCAGGAAATCCGAATGCATAAAAACAAACGGTTCATTAAACGGAGCACCTTAGTATGAGAGAGAGAAAGGGACCTCTTTATTCACATCATTGTTATTAGCTAGCTCATTATCATCCTTGTCTTCAGAACTTCCAGCTATTTGAGCAGCAATTATGGAATCTACGAGTTCGTCAAGGGGAGCTTCCACACCTGCAATGCAATATAGTCATATAGACCATAGTACAATAAAATTATGCGGCATTAGCTTACTAAACACCAGAAACTATGTAGTTACAAATGAAATAGGAGAAAGTTTTATATAGGGAGGTCAAATAGGAGAAAATTTTATAGAAGTATGGAAACAAAACGTTTTGACTCAATATGATACTCATTCTCAGTCAGCAGTGAAGTTATGGCTGTGCATTGAAGTCCAATTTTTCAAGAGTTTCAAAACGTAGGGACCTAAAAATAACTGAACTGATGACAATTCTCATAGAAACTTTAACTAAAAGAATTACATTAACCTCAGATTCATTATACATAAGTTAACTAGACTGTTTAAATTAGATGTGGACTACTACTTATTTACATCTATGAATACCAATTAGATCTATGCACCCATGCACTTCACAAGGCTTCTGCTAACAACTTAAGTTTTTACATCTAAATAGTATATTCACACATTCTCTAGAGATTTGTAATATTCATCGATAGATTACATTAAGTATACCTTGCTGGGCACCAGAAACCATTCTTTGCATAAAAAGGTTACCAAATGCACCCTTCTCAACTTGGGCATATCCCAAAAGCCCATTCTTACACGACTCTTCTTCTTTATTCCCGTGATTGAACGCAGGACAAATGCACAGTTGATGTTTCTTTAGCTATTTCAGTGGGAATCAGGTAGTGCTTTCCTATTATGACAGCACCACTTTTGGTTTTTTGGAAATACCATGTACTTGGTATTGGATGTATGACAGTACATTTCTACGATATGCTAACATCCATCAACTTATTTGCAAGATGTTCTCTAATCCAACCAACACAACCACTTCAAGAAACCATTATATATATATATATATCTAGGGAGGGGATTTCATGTCACCATTCCATTCTAATATAATGAAATCACTCTTTTTAAAGACCATGTTCATGGCATTTGTTGACCCCAAATTTTTAGTCACAATCTAATCATCCCGATAATCAATCCCAAAAAGGAAAAAATCAAATTTGCATCCTAGAAAAGGCCAAAATCAGTCATTCTCAAACAAATGATTCAGATTGTCTATTTGGTGGACATTGAGATCTAGGTCTTTAAAGGACTCAAAAATCCATTTTTGTTTTTCTTTTTCAAAACCGGAGATCTAATGGTGATAAGGCCATCTACAAAATTTGGGATTCAAAATAAAAAATCTCTATAAGGCTAAATTTTTTTTTTTTTTTGGGGGGGGGGAAGAGATTGTTCATCTGAATCAAAACATGGTTTTGAAACCAATGTCCCTAACATGGTTTTGAAAGGTGCTTTTCATTTTACTAGTAGAAATTTGTTGCTTGAAATAACTACCCCCGCCTCCCAAAAACAAACAAAAAAAAAAAAAATACAAACACACACTTCCCAAATACCAAGGTTTGAAAAAACGGATCGCGACCCGGATCAGCCTCCCCAAAAACCATGTCGGATCAGTGGATCAGCAATCCGGATTCGAGAATCATTCGGATCGGTGGATTTCGGCCCAAAAAAATTCAAAATAATCACCAAAAATATCTAAAAATAGTGTTTTTTGAGAGTCTAAAAACAATTGGGAGTGGTGCATTATGTACTTTCATTATTTTGTAAAAATATATGAATACAGAGATGTTTTCCTGTCTGGGTGTCTATTAAGCATTAACTTATATCACTAAAAAAAAAAATTTATAATAATCAACATGGATATAAATTAAATGGAACATACAATACAACAATTAAAATATAACCTGAAACCAAAATGAAACATGTCGTTGTTCTTCCTCTTGATCGTGTTGGTGCCACTCATGGAATTGTCTCGACAATTCATCGAGTCGTTTCATATATGCCTCGGAATAGTGTGAACAACTTGTTATATATTCCATATAACAATAACAACTTAATATAATTTAAGATTATATTAATTTTTATAGCTCTATAAAATAAGTTATTATAACAATGACAAATTAACAATAGGTTATTTGTTAATACTTGTGTAAGTGATAAATATATTAATTTAAAATTATAATCTATATTAAATATGAAAATAGCATGATCTATACAACAATAACAATGTATTAATAATGCAGCAATTTAATACATTAAATTATGAGATGTTTTAATTATTTATAACAATAAAAATTTCAATAGAGAGGTAGAGAGAATTTGTTAACAGTTATCAAAAAAAAATAGAGAGATAGAGAGAAAGAAGCTATATGGAACAAATGATTGTGGAATTGATTTGGAGAGAAATATGGATGCCAAGGGGAGAGAGAGAGGAGCCAAGTGGGGGAAGACGGATTTTATTTTGATGGGGCCAAGGGGTTCTATTGTACGCAAAGTTCAATAGGTTTTATTGTACGCAAAGATCGGTAGGGAAAATAATCCCATGTCGAACTCATAGCTTATGACAAGGTTCTATAAAAGTGTCATGCCCCTAGTAATAAATGTCACAGGTGACTCAAGTTTAGGGAAGTGGACTTGCTGCAATAAAGAGTCCTTAAGTTGAAATTTAAAAATTCATTAAATGCAATGCGGGACCAGCAATGGAGTGTTTTTTTTAATTAAAAAGCTGCTATTGGAAATCCTAAACTTAGGAACGCGTGACGTGCCCAGTTTTCACTTGGGAACTGGTGATGTGTCCGGTTTTCCCTAACAGAACCGGGTCTGACCTAGCCCGGTTCTAGGGGGAGTTGTCTGGATCCCAATATATTGAGGGATTCGAATTGCCATTAACGATTCCCAATCCGGATCAGGTGATTCTGAACTGGATCGCCAGATTTTCAAACCTTGCCAAATACCATACCAATGGGATTTGTTTGACCCCAAACATTGAGGATGTTCCTACGAACTAGAAATGAACATTAAAAAAAAAAAAAAGACTTTAACACATCCAACCCCAGATCTCACAGAGCACCACAAAGAACGTGTGCACTATCTAAGCCACACATTTCATTGTAGCCAAGGGTCCATATTATATCTTCCATCAAACTTAAGTAACCCAAACTCAGACTTTGTCATCTTCTCATCTCCAGCCCAAGAACTCCCTCATCTCCTCCCCTGCCACCGTTGTGCATTGCACCTACTTCTGGCCCCCACCTGCTTCATCAACCACATTAGAAGCTCAGCACCAACCAAACCCTAAATTATTGTACATTTCTGATGGTCCACCATTAAAACTTAATACAAAACCTGTAGAGTCCTTATCCATCCATGAGAGAGAGAGAGAGAGATATTGGGAACCTACAAGTTGAGGCAGGAGTCAGGAAGTGGTCAATGAAGCAGGTGACAGAAAAAGGCAGTGGTGTGAAATTTGGGTCGCTTTTGATGTAGGTGATATTATAGACCACAAAATTTAAAGAGAATGAGCGGCTCAGATTATGCCACATCATGATTTCTTTTTAATCCCACCATTAGCATTTCATACATGCTACAATCATTCCCCAATAGTACCACGGTACAAAACGCAGACATTCTTCTTTTTTTGGGTAGTTCAGCAGTAGGATCGAACATAGTGTTGCCACTGTCAACACCTTAACCAATCAAGACTAAGCCAGAATGCAGACAACTAAACTTTGGCAAAAATGTAAGGAACCATACAAGAAGCTCTTTATTGAACAAAAGATAAAGAATTACAATGAGTCAATGACCATAGTGGGAGGTGATCAAAGAAGAAGGCATCACAATATTCAGAAGAATACAGAAAATCCAAAAAGGACATTCCAGAGAGTTGGTGAACAAGCACGTAGATCTTAAGCTGTGGTCATATAAAATGAGATTAAAAAAAATATTATGTTGTTCAACTTCAGTTGTAATTAGCATAATTGGAACGTGAAATAGTCTTCAAGTTACCAAATGAATCCAGGCAAGAGTTCTGAACCATTTAAAGAATACACGCATACCCAAAAGATTCAAAAATCCCTTGAAATACCTTCACCTTTATATGAGTGAAACTACACCTAGCTCAACAAAAGCCAAGCCTTATAGGGTGGGCAATCAAAGTCCACCATCAACAAGATGATCAGCAGCATGAAATAAATACTACAATGACAAAAAAATATTGAGACAGACCAAAACTGCAAAATAAACCTTCCAAACAGAACAATAATCTAGTTTACATAACTATTGAATGCTTGTGAAGTGAATCATGAGTTCTACAACTTCCACATACTCAATGAATTGAATTATTAAATACATAGTTATCAAGACCAGAGCGAACTAGTAGTACAACCAGTTAGATCGGCAACAGGTGCCTTGGCTAGTCTAGTCCAAGAAAAAAACCACATTTGGTCAAAAACTAGTCAAAACCAATGTTTGACCAGTTTAGGCCAATCGAACTAGCCGGCTTTAATCGGTTAGACTAGCTAGATGAAGTAGTGCAAAAAAAATTAATATATTTTATATTTAAACTATTACATCTATTTTTATTTCCTTTTTCTAAAATCTGGTCCAACTGGTTTGGACCAGTTTGACTAGACCACACCCCTCAACATTGATTAAATAAGGTTTGGACCAGTTTGACTAGACCACACCCCACAACATGCTGTCAAGGGTTCCATTCCTACACCATTACTATGTCAAAAAAAAAATGCAATATAAACAAGAATAGTACAATATGTTAGCTCAGAAGCCTACTGATGTTAATCAAAGATAATTTAAGAAAAAAAATAGTACCAAGCCTACTAATGGCCATATCAATTTCATCGGCAGAAAAGTCCATCAACAACAGAGAAGTCTTTGTGTCTATCACATCATTAGATGGAGAACCCTGGTGCTGCAACAGTGAAAAAGCAAAATAAACAATGTAGAACATAAAAGAGAATGCCTGTAGAGATCAGCACAAAAATGGTTACCTCCATTCCTTGATCGTTGTTCAAATAGGAGAGTTCAGCAATTTCAGTTTCCTCTATGCTGGGATTATTTATGGCTGTTAGGGGCTCGTCCAGGTCTAAATTAGAGTTTTCAAGGGCCTGTGACATTCAGTGAAAATGCAGTTACTGATCACCCACCATTTTTTCCATTTTGTTATCCATAATTATCTTCCCTAATCATCATAAATATATTTTAGAGTTGTAAGATAATTCAAATTACAAAACATTTGTGCACGCAAGCATCACAAAATCAAAATAAACAACCAAACTTCGCATAATGTTTTACCAGTGGGCATTGCAAAAGGAGATATTTCTTGAATTATGCTCCCACATCTACAGTTCAACCCAAACTATATGATTACATCTTTGCAGGCAGCCTATCCCTTACTAGTAGGAATGTATTTGAGGTTAATGCATACTGTATGCAAAAAAGTACTCCGTACTCCACTACTAATAGCTATATTGATAAAAAGTGAATTACAATAGATAAAATAATAGGCAAAACATAAAGAGTCTAAAAGGACAGATACAGTTAACAATGTCATCTTGTAGAAAATTCCAGGCGCAACACATTTTTCAGGTGAAGGATGTGGTCATCTCAAAAGCTACTATCAAGTTTTTGCACCAAGTTCTCTAATAGATCACATTTTTCAGGTGAAGGATGCGGTCATCTCTAATAGATCACAATATTCAGGTAAAGGATGTGGTCATCTCAAAAGCTACTATCAAGTTTTTGCACCAAGTTCTCTAATAGATCACAGTGCAAGTTACGAAGTCTCCACAACATGGAACGTCACAGTCAGTTTATTTCTTCTTTCAAACGAAGCATCATGGTCATAGCCTAAGAACCATTGAAGTTTGCACTATGGTTTTTACACCAAGGATGTGGTCATCTCAAAAGCTGCTGTAGATCACTTTGCAAGTTAAGAAGTCTCCACAACATCAAACAACACGGAATCAGTTTCTTTCTTCTTCCACATCATTTGAGCAAGGAAACATCATGATCATAGCCTAAGAACGATCAAAGTTTGCAGCTAACTGAAATTGCACCTAATAGAGACCTGAAATATCTTTGGAACACCATTCTACACCACAAACTCCTCTTAGCAACCTGTAATCCTGTACAAGAGTACGACATTAACCAAAAATAAAATAGATGCCACCTAGAATTTCCTACATTTGTAGCTCTACGGGTGTGTCTTTTCAGCACATTGAAGGAAGCTAATAAGGCTGAGCCCTCGTGAATAGCAGTGTGACTAGACAGACCCTTGATGTGGAGAAGGGCTTGCAGATTTTGACAATGAGATGTTGCAATGCAATCTCCTGGAATTTTGGCATGTGTTTCATAACCTTGTATATTTAATAATGTTTCATGATGATAAAAAAGAAACTACAATTTTGCACCAGATGGCATGGTTAAATAGCACAATCAACTTCATCAATGAAAGACAACTTAAGCACTTCAGGAGAAGATATGAGGACATACAGAATAGGTAAAGAGCGAATTCAACATTGCATCAGCATCCTCTTCACCTGGATCCCAAAAGAATTAATCAATTAATAGCAGGATCAATATTCTTTTGTTAATCAATTAATTAGCAAAAGAATTAATAAATTAAACAACAATCAGTTTTCTATGAATGCAATTAAATGACACAAATGCAATTGGAACCATACAATAAAAAAGTATATGCACATAGATACATATCATTGCAAATATGTACTCAGAACAATGCACTCACGCACAATCTAAGATTTGATATTTTTTAATGTGTTGACTGTAGCATTGTATCAAGTTTAGTAAAAAAATGCCCACAAGCTGGGTGCTCTAAGAAAAAACCCTCACAGGAGCCCAAAAATGCTATACAACCAGAAATAAAAGAAAACTAGATATAAAAGAGGGGGCTAAGTGCTCAAAAAGTTGCCAAAACTCCCGAGTGCCAAACCATGCTGCCCCCTCCTTAGCGCGCGTAGCGCAGGTGTCGGCTGCTGCATTGGCCTCTCGCCAGGTATATGTCCATGAGACACGCATAGGCAATGACAATTTAGGGTATCCAAACAATTTAGGGAGAGGGAGAGATTTTTGAATGATGTGCATGGAATTTGTCTCTTCCGTACAATGCATATGTTAGGATTGAGATCCCCAAATGGGATCGGGAGCTGGGGGATCTTGAAATGCTAGAAGATCCCTATAGTTGAAAGCACCATCCATACAATGAATATGTTAGGGATTGAGATCACCAAATGTTAGGGATTGAGATTCCAACCTCTTGGGGATCTTGACCCTGACATTTTGGGATCTTGATCCCAATTTTACTACCAACCTTAAACTGTATGATAAATAAAGATTATATACTCTTTAAAGTAGGGATCCCCACAAATGTTAAGGATAGAGATTCCAACCTTTTGGGGATCTTGATCCTGACATTTTGGGATCTTGATCCCAATCTTACTACCAACCTTAAAGTGTATGATAATCTAGGATTATATACACTTTAAAGAAGGGACCTCTTAATTTATAGCAAGCAAGCAATGCAACCACATTAAAATTATAGTTTATGTTGGTAGTTGGCTATAAATGAAGAAAATCATCAATATGGTTGTTGTTTTGGTCTTTAAGGTTGGGATCTAGATCTTTAACAACAGGAATCGGGATCTCTAACAATGGGGATCGAGATCTTAAAATTTAAAAATTGAGATTCTTGAGAGATCTGTACTGGGAATGATAGAATCGAGATCCTAGAAGGGATCACCTGAATCGAGATCCTAGAAGGGATCGCCTACCAAAGTGATCCCGATAACCATGATTCATACATATGTACATACAAACACATATAGGACCAGTTCGGATAGCAACTAAAAGTTGTCGCATATTTTACCTCCATATCCAATAAAATCACATCAAATGGACAAATCCCACTATCTCAAATAGATTAGAATGCCACAACCGAAACGTCATAATGAGGCACGTACATATAAAGCCCCAATATTGGAAACTTATATATGAGCCAAAAGGCCGATAGAGCATAGATTTAGGGCTAGCAACAAGCCGAGCTAGGCCTAGAATGGGCTCATTGGCAGGACTAAGCTGGGGCAGGGCTTTTACTTAGTATGTGGCCAAGTGGGGCCTGGAATTCCAGGCCTGCAGGTCTAGCCAGGCCAGGTCCTCGAGTAACATATGCTGGCTGAGGCTCTGGTTGAAACAGTCTGGGCGGCTGGGGCACCTAGACCATTGCCAACCCTAAGCAAAGTCTATATTCATGCTGCATAAGTCCAATAATCAACTAGAAATACATATTGTACAAACAGACACCCACAAGAGCACAAAGATACACATATACACCACCTGTATGCATCATAATAGACACCCAAATAGAAAGTTCTGGCAAAAATTGTCTATCAAAAGAGATTTTGAGAATTCAAGAAAAAGATAAAATAGCCGACCCCCATAGTTGTTATAAGGCTCTGATGATGACGAAAGAAAAAGATAAAATGACGCAGGAATAAATTAGATATGATAAAGATCCTAATCATATGCCGAAAGTTTCAGTTACTTTGCATAAGTGGGAAATACTTCATGCCCCATATTTAAAAAGAGAGGGGTAGTTTTGTTATTTTCTATAAATGATTGAGGAGATTACCTGTAACAGTGATTTAATAACTCAAACACAGTAGGTTTAATTCAAAGTTTCAAACAATCACAGTAAGTGATGCCTAACAGAAATGGAAGAATAATAAACTTTATTGACACAATAGTAAAAATAAAGGAAGCAAATGAAACTTCAATAACTTTGCCAGTAAAAGCCAAAAAGAACAATTAGTAAGAGCAATACCCTGCTCTGCAATAACTTTGTCCACAAGAGCCACTGGGAAACCCATTCCTATAAAATGCGATTTCAAATGACTCCACGACGAGCAACCAGCAGTATTCTTGAATCAACAAACAAGAAAATGAAATAGCAATGGTGATGAGTAGACAATCAAATGCCACTGGTATTCAACAAACCAACACCAAATGAACTAAATTTTCCCACGGCCAAAAAGATGACAAAACAAAATTCAAAAACAAGGAAACTAAAACAAAATCTAAATTCCAACTAGATTTTAGGAGCATGACCATGTTGAAGCACAACATTAATAAAAAGCAAAAAGAAAAAGGCACAACAATAATGAAATTAACAACTTGCATGAAATGATTGCGATATAACACATAGTAACCATGAGCAATTAAAAAACAAACGAGCAGATAGCTAATGAGACACCTTACAAAGGGATATCATCTAAAACAGAAATTTTAAGATTATGACAGCTAGGACAAATTACAATTCAATTGTAAAAGCTTAAGTTTGATCAAAATGCCAAACGAAAAAGTCGACTACATTGAAACTGAAACCTTGCACCGACATGAATGTGATATAAGAAGACATACTAACCATAAGCGATTATTAAAATGGGTAGAGTTCTAGTGAGTCACTTTACCCAAGCGATAATCATACAAAGCAGTTGTTGAGATAATACAGACACCATATGGTCCTATTTATTTAACAGTCAATCTCTCATAGAAAGCACCATAAAAGCCAACCCAAGATGAAAAAACAAACAACAACAAAAAGAGAGAGTGGGTTTGCATGGTTTGTACAATTTTCAAAATTTGAACCCCTGACCTCCCTCATACAAACCAGGTGTGCCACTAGATCAGAGCATAAGATACCAAAGGAAAAAGGCAATAATAAGTCAATGAACATAAGAATGCAAAGAGCTTCTTAATAACAAAATTGAAATTAGAGTGAGTAAAACTTATTTTAAAATAAGTAATACACCTAAGAAATGCAAATTCACCGGGATACAAAATCAGGAAGCTCTAAAATGTCTTAAAGAAGTAAATAATCCAGATAACCCCCCAAAAACAAATACCTCAACTGGATCTGCGCATACTGAATCAGAGTACATTCTTGAAGTCGATGGGCCTATCAATGACATGCTAGTATCATGCTCCAAACCATCTGAGGAACTCTCACTATCATCACAGTCTATTATGTTTTCCTGGACAAAAAAAAGAAAAAAGTGAAGAAATAAGATCAAGAAGAATTGAAGTTGACCCATCCAAGTCATGGTGGATACCATTTAGGAAGCGTGCAGGAGACAACGCAAGAGCAAAAGACAATCCTGCCACCACGTATTTAAATCTCTGCAAAAAATCCCATAAGAAAATCAATCCAGAAAATGTTTCTTCTAAAAGATAGGTGGAGATCCAAAAACTCTAAGTGAATTCAAGAAGGCATATATGATTTATATGATTAAACATAACTAACAGGAATAAATAGAACTAGATAAAGATGTCAAACATTGGATCATGTCATTGTTACTACAATCCAAGACTGTTTAGGCAAGGTATAATTTCCAAGCCACCTTACAATTGGGCCCATTTGAATTTTTGTGACATGCATTTTGTCCTCAAGGGATCTGACTTTCAAATTTGAATTGATTCCCAATTGCAATTGGGCTCCCAAATTGAATTTTTTGCAAAACCATGCCAAATCTCTCTCTCTCTCTCCACCACCATCACACTAGCATCACTCAAGCCATCACCACCATCACACCATATCACTAGCATCACTCAAGCCATCACCACTACCACCATCACACTATACCACTAGCATCACTCAAGCCATCACCACCACCACCATCACACCACACAGAAACAAATTACATTTCAAACTGAAACAACCAAACACCCCTACAGTGCAAATGATAATTCACCAATTTGCGATTTGATCAATTACAAATTGAAACAAAACACCATCTAACAATGTTATGAAATCAAACAATGTCTTAGAACATTCAAATACTGTAATATAATAGCATTGGCACAGGTGAAAATGGGATTTTAGATCACAAGCTTTATCAGATAGCAATTCATCTCTTTTCAATAGAAATTTACATATTTTACACCATTCAACATGATATTAACTGTAGAACACATTTTAAAGCATAAAATTATCTGCAAAATAGCCCACTTTCTGGGACTATAGTCAGAAAGAAAATTTGACATTCCTACAGGACAGAAAACACTTTGACATTCTTAAGAGATTGCATATAAACAACATAGGTAAGATTGACTTGAGTAACTAACTTAAGCAACTAAGAACACTAGCAGGAATCATATGTCTTGTAGGTTATATCTAGTCCCGAGCATCAAGCTCAAAATTCAAATCATTTCGAAATATACATTACAGAAGTTGTATGACATATAAAGGCACAATAAAAAAGATCAGGCAGAGAAATATGATAGAAGAGAGTCTTCGGGATTGTAGAATAGTCAGGCCTGAATTGCCAAAACCAACTTTCTACCTTATATTATCACCATTCTCTACTCCTTCATTCTTTAGTCATATATCATTCAGTACATATTACTCTTTCAGTCTTTCCCAGTGTTTCAAAAAAATTGTGGGGTTTTTCTCTCTAAAATAGGCTCTAATGGATTTTAGGTTTCAAATGAACCTAGAACCCACAATTTCTCCCCTTTAGTATTCAAAGAATGATCAAAAAAGTACAAAAAAGCCCCTCCACAAGGGGCATTTTCGTCCTTGGTGGATCATGGATTAATTGGATTATAATTTATGTTTTGTGAATTCTAATTATATATATCTGCCTTGGCTACCCCCATGCTAGTCATGCCGGTACCAAGCCCGGGTACAGGAGGACGGTTGTGTTAGGTAGGCTGCAAGTGTAACATTTTGCCACAACTTTCTATAAATCTTGAATCTATGTTATCTGCTCATGCTAGAGCGTTCTCCGTGAGAGACATGCTGCAAGTCTTACGGTCTTACTGGGGGTATAGCCCCCTTGATGGAGCACAATGTCGAAATATGATTTGTGTAGCCGACCCTAAATAGTTGGGATAAGGATCTGATGATGATGAGTTTGTAACTGTATAATTATTATATCTTCCTTGTGATTGTGTTCGTAGTTAGTATTAGTAGTCTAGTCTACGAGTATTCCAGTACTGAATTTGAATATTGGATTATATTTTCTTATTTTTCTTAATGTTTAACTAATTGTCCAAATCTCACATACTTTGGTTTGTCTTTGTAATTTGTATTGGTTGAACATAAAAAAATGTATTAAAAATGTCTCAATATGCATTTTTAACACACAATTTATACGTGAAACAGTTTTTTTTGGACACCTCCTACCCTTGTTCTTCCACCTGGGCTGCTCGGCTGCCTAGGTGCTGGGTGGCAACCCAACGCCCAGGAGGGCCGCCTAGGCGATGCGCCCATACCCTCCCGGCCCGCCTAGGCACCAGGCGGGATGTTTTTTAGAACATTGGTTATGAAAAAGTCAATCATTTTACAAACCAATGTTCTAGGACTCAGCCAAGTGCACTTGGACCCAGCCAAGTAACTCAACCTAAGCCTATGGCGGAGGCAAGTTCCTACGGCCAACTAGGCCACAGTTTAAAATTAATATAAATGCTATTTTTTGTTAAAAATTTTAACTAAATAATTTAAAAATACATTTTTAGATCATTTATAAGGTTTTTATGATGATTTGAGAAGCTTTCTCTCAACATGCCCCAATTTTTATTTTTCATTTTTTTTATTTTACTGAATATTTCATGGTATAAATTAAAATTTTGAATAATCCATTTTTATGTACGCTTTTGGACTTTTCTGGACTTCCAATGAATTCCATTACTTATTTTCCACTTTCCTGATTGTTAATATTTTTAACTTTTCTTTTTACATTTTTTTTTATTTTTTTAACTTTTTTTGACGTGTGCATTGCTCAGCCGAGTCCACTCCGAGTTACTCAGCTCGAGCCAGGTCACGCAAGTTGAGTTAAAAAACATATTTACAATATATCAAATTGCCTATGCAAAATAAGCACATGGATGGCATTGTCAAAGTATTATCAAAGATTATTGAAACTACAACAACTTGCTACAAACCATTTATCATTACCCCAAAAGAAAAAAATAAATATCATGTATCATGCACACATACTCGTGCATTTGCTAAAATCCACCTTCTTATGTAGACCATTGTTAAAGAGAATCATCTTACTGGAAATGCAGGTCAGAAAATTTAAATTTGCATGTAAGCAATGGTGAAAAGAAACATAAAATCACCTAAAAAAAATCGAAATTCAGTCTAACAAAAAATGGCATTTCTTAGTGCATGCAGATAAGGATAACAGCAACATTATATCCGTAATCTTTCTATAATCAAAGTCTAACCAATAATCAAACTAAGTCATACAATAAATAGGTTCATAAACAAAAAAACTCTAATTCGAACCATAAAATGAAAATTTAACTTCCAGAACAAAAAGCTCAAGATTTTTACCCTAAATCCTTGATCAGAAAGGATCAGAGTGGACTCAGCCGAGTTTTATAACACTGGAGAAAAGGGGAAAAACCTAATTTCAGCTGGAATATGGAGCCTGTGAAGAATTTGGCCCTAAAATATGGGTTTCAGAGTGAAATTACAAAAGCGAAAACTCAAGAGAGAGAAGAGAGACGCCCCGCAAGCTTCTGTTACAAAATTTTGGAGAGAGAATATTTTGGGTTTCCCGGAGGAGGGAAACGGGGACAGCTTTTTTAAGTGGAGGTTTAGTAGACGTAGATTGACCATCAACATCCCAAACTTCTATCAAAATGACTCTTCAAGACACCAATTCTTATTCGTCAGGTTGAATCACGTCCGTACTGTTTTCTAACGGTCTTGCGTAGATTTTGCTGGCGGTGTCAATGGATCCCGACCCGATCCGGGCCCGAGTGGTAAACCCAATCCAGGTTCAAGCATGGGCTTAAAACTTGGATTCGAAAGATTGGGTCTGGGTCTGGGTCTGGGTCTGGGTCTGATTCATGTCCTAGTTTGGGTATGAGTTTAGAAATTGGACTTGACAGGCCTAATTTGGACCCAAACATTATGTGAGTTTGAGTCTGAACAGGTCTGGGTCCACTAGTATTTTTTGAGACTCAATATATGAAATATATTTAAATATAATTAATTGTAAAGATATTTTAATTTTTTAATAGGATCCTATTGGGTTTGGGTTCGAGTCCCATATAATAATTGCTAGTCCAATTCCAAGTCCGGTGAATTCGAATGTAGAAGGGTTAAGGTCCTATATCATTCTTTCATGTCCAAAATTAGGTCGGGCCCATTGTCATATTTTTTTAGCAAAGTGATAATCTCTTGTATTCAAGTGTTAAAGATTGTATTGAACAAAAATTTTTTAGTAAGGATATTTTTGTTATTAATAATAAAAAAATAATAATAACGAATATCTTTAAGATTCTTTGCAGTAAAAGTGTCACACATTAAACACGACCTGCCACTTGGACATTAAAAACTGTACTATTATTATCACCACCGTTGATTCCCTATTAAAAAACTTTAAAAATGCCAAACACTTTTTTAAAGTTTCAATACTAGCGTCCAAAACTTTTTGAAAACCAAAAACCCATCTCTCTCAGTAACTTGCCTACACCGTAAAAAATGGCATTTCTTTCGCGGATAAGTTTTCATGCTTTTATGGAACTTCTTTCCTCTTTTATTATCCAGCCGTTCAATTTTGATCAAAAAAGCTACTTGTCATTTAATTTTAGAGTTGATATTTTAAAACTTTTTATTTTTATTTTTTTTATACAAATTACATAAATATGAAATTTGGTAAATATCATCTTTTCATTGGAGATATAGATCTAGCAGATATATGAACACTTGATAATCTTAAAAATAACTTTCTAAAGATACATTACAAGATGCATTTATTTCTATGACTTGAAATCCATTTTTTCTTATGCCCATCCATCTCGATGTCAAGGTGATCAATTTGGGGATTTTTGGGCTTCAAAACAACTTCTTTTAGTGAACTTTTTAGGTGCGTTCTGAATTGAGTGTTGAGCATGACCCTTATGTAATTTTTGCCCCCACTAAAAAGGAGTTGAGAAAAGGTAAAATATTATTTAAAAAAAAGTTTATATAAGGGTGATTCCTTAAACAATCAAATTAAGACGCACCTCAAATATTCATTAGAAAATGTTATTTCGATACTGAAAAACCCTTAATTTGATCATCACGACCTCAAGATGTATGGGCATATTTCAAGTTTTAGAAATAGCGCTCTTGTAATATATTATCTAAACTGTCAATTTTCAAGATAGGTGCAGTTGGCATACAGATGCATCCGTAATTGTAGAAGTAAGGTGCGCATTTTAAGTTTATCGTGGAATGTAATTTTGATGTAAAATGTTCTTAGGATTATCTCAAAATCTATTTTTATATCTAATTATAAATTTTAAATTTTAAAAATAGTTAAAATCAAGTAGATCTATAAGTATATGAACACCTTGAAAATTGATGGTGTAGATAATATGTTGTAAAATACACTATTTTTTATACTTAAAAATAATTTTATTTTTCAACATTAAAACTACATTTTCTAATGGATTTTTTAGATCCATCCATAGCTCTACATTATAAGGTTGCAACCTTATATAAACTTTTTCATTTCCAGATTTATAAGTCTTAATAGATTTGTTCATCTATACTTTTTATTAACTTTGAATTTTATAATTAGAGATGCAAATGATTTTCAGATCATCATAAAGATTTCTCATACTGAAACAATATAGTTCAATACTATTTGAAGGTGTGCCCCACTTTAATTGTTTATGGTCTCGGACTTATACAAATTGCACTAATTATTTAATGAGTCATGATTCATTGCTAGATTAGGACTTCAAATAGTTGAAAAATAAAAAGCTCTAATGATGATGAAGTAACCTCTCACTATATTTTCAAAACTCAAGAGATCTTTATTAGCATTAAGTATTTATTTTTTAATTTAGTTTTAATTAAATATTTATTATACAATACTATAATATTTTGTGTTTAAGGCTTCCAATAACGAACGGTTTAGGTATTTTTGAAATATTTTTGGGAAAAGTACATAAAAAAAAAAAAAAAAACCTTCTAGATATTTTGATCCCTTAATGCTGTAAGAGATTTTGACCCTTTAAATCATATTTTTCTAAAAAATGTAAAAGAAAATCATACCAATTACTATAATATTCACAGCCAATATCCACTATTTTTAAGGAAAGCAGGCACCGAATATTCACTGTCTATATGTGGATGTGTATATTTAAGTGATGAGTTGTTTTACAGTTCTATATTTAATGTTGTTAAGTAAAATTAATAAGATAATATTCATATACAAGGGATAGTTTTCGGGCTTGAACAGGGTTATATATATATTTAACTAAGGGGTTTATTTAGAGTTTACAAACATGTAATAAAAAGGTTAATGTTACAACGTGAGTAGTTTATTTATCAAAATCACTATTTTTGTTTGAATTTTGTTTTTTATACGTAATTTAATCATTAAGTAAGAGTAAATTTCATTTTTTTTTTGAAAGTTATAAAATTTTATTTGTATAATACCCTTGTCTTTCAATAAAATTTTCAAACTTACTCTTTTCCAATGAGTACGATCTCATCTTTGGGTTTGGGTGAGAAAACCCATAGTTTTGCGGGTTTGGACTGTAACTAGCAAAACAACAGTTAAAAAAATCTTTCCTACTTTTACTGCATTTAAATTCAAAATTTTTTAAACTTTCGATATCTTTATTTCTTCTATTTTAACTTTTTATTTAAAAATAAGGTTTAAGAAAACTTCCCTTTGTCTTTATTTTCAAATTTGAAATTTGTTTTTGAAAAACTATCTTCATATACTCTAATTTGGTATATGATTTCTCAGTAGACCCACATATTTCAAATCTATCTTACGGCATCGATTTTTTTAAAGTCTCCTTCCCATATTCCATCCAACTAGCAACAAACATTTATTCCTTTACCTTTCAAAAACACCAGCACCTCGCTTTCTTTCACCATAAATATGGAGTAGTGCGCTTAACTATCAAGTTGGGCACCAATTTGTCTACGCATTTACTCGTTGGCCCTATCTATTTGCCCATTGTAAAGTTAGGAGAGAGAGATGGGTTGCGGAGGGAAAAAAGTTAGCACGATAGTGTGAGAGAGAGAACAAGAGCTTTGGGCTGCTGGATTTAGAGTAAGAGAGAGAGCGGTTCGGGGAGAGAGATTTAGGGGAAAGATGGCATGGGTGAGACAGAGATTGGAGGAAGAGGCGTATGAGAGAGAGAGACTTAGAGGGAAAAGAGCAAAACTAGAGAATGAGTGGATAGAGAAAAACTTGAGTGAGAAAGTACAGATTTTGAAACTTGTTTGGGATGGAAACATGATATAAATTGTGGTTCTATAGGTTGAGGGGGTTAGTAGAAAGATTTTTAGAAAAGTTGATGACCCTCGAGATAATGAAAAATCATACACAAAATTAGGGGTTATGAAGATATTTTCCTATATTTTAATGTAATTTGATTTTTTTTTTTGAAAAACATTATAAGATACTTTCCTATTTTATTTTCATCCAAACTGAATAATTTTTGGAACTTTCTATATCTTTATCCATTTAATCTTTTTTAAAAAATAATTAATAAGGTAACTTACTAAATTTATTCAATATTAATGAGGTAACTTACTACATTTATTCAATATAAGTACATGATAAGCTGGAAAGTTACTGTGTAGAATTAATCAATATTCGATGGATTGGATTCTACATACATTTTGGTATTAAAAAAAAACACACACACATTGCAATTAACCAAAAAATCATCAAAAGACTTCCATGCAAAAGAAGTGTTTCAACTTCTAAGGGCTCATTTGGTTCCTGTGAAAATATGTCATACGAGTGTAAAGCTGATTTGAAAACTTGTCCCATAGAAAAAGGTTTTATCACCACAAAGAACAAATCGTGTGAAAAGAAATCCCCACCCTACAAGGTAGGGAATGTTCCCAAGGACCCATTACTCGCGCGGACCCAAAAAAATATTTCATTCGAGTTTACCACAAGGGGTTGAAACAACAAAAAAAAATTAGAAATTTTCTCTCTCTCTCCCCTCATCCCTCTTTCTAGTCTAAAAGGAGAGTGGGTTTTTGGAAATAGAAAGAGATCATGGATTTCTAGAGAGATAATAGGTCTTTAAAGAGAGAAAGAGAGATTGGGTTTTTAGAAAGAGAAAGAGATATTGAGTTTCTAAAGAGAAAATGGGTATTTAAAGGGGAAATAGAAATTGAGTTTTCAGAGAGAAAATGAGTTTTAAAAAAAGAGTAATGATTTTATGAGACCCTCCCACACCTATGTGTGTAAGACTCCAAACGATCACCATTAAATTTGATACAGATATCTAGAAAAGTTATCACATGGGAGTGAGATTTGACTTTTCTAGATATCTATGTCAAATTTAATGGTGATCCTTTAAGGTCTTATACACATGGGTATGAAAGGGTCTCACAAGGTCATTTACCATTAAAGAAAACAAATAGATATTTAGTTTTTAGAGACAAAAAGCGAGATTGAGTTTCTAGATAAAGAGAGTGGATTTTTAGAGAGAAAAATAATGAGATTTGGAGAGAGAAAGAGAGAAAATAGGTTCATAGAGAGAGAGAGAGAGGGTTTTTAGTGAGAAAAAGATAGA